TCCATAGTTAAATCGGCTGGAAACGTACTAGTAGTTGTAGCAAATTAATTACTGTACACTTATTAAAGTGACTTTGTAATAATCGGGAAAATAATGTTTAAAAGTTACTTACTTACTTACTTACTTACTTACTCATGGAACTGAGCCCTTCTCGTGGAGCCGCAAATTCTGCAGCTACTCAAGAATTTCCCAGCATTTTATGGAACCCGAAGGTTCATTACCATGTTCACAAGAGCCATCCACTGGTCCCTATCCAGAGCCAGATCAATCCAATCCGTACCATCCCATCCTATCTCTCTAAGATCCATTTTAATATTGTCCACTAACCTACGCCTTGGTCTTCCCAGTGGTCTCTTTCCTTCCGGATTTCCCACCAATATCATATATGCATTCTTCTTCTCCCCCATTCGTGCTATATTGATTAAACTCAGTGCAAAATATTTTCAAATCCAGTAGAGGCAGTGAATAAATAGTAAGGCGTTTTTTATTTATAAAAAAATGTAATATGAAAACACGTACTCGGGATTCTTAATATGACTTATTATACTATTCTGTCGTTATAAGGGAATATAGTAACGGAAAGATATGACGCTAAAACATAAGAATTCAGTATTTATCTTCGACGAAAATATTGCTGATTTAGGAGTATAAGGATAAATCCAGCCAGCCTCCAACCGATTCCACTGCTCCTGTAGAGGTCACCAGACTTGAAACAAGTTGAGTCGCCTACAAAAGGACGGGTCAGGGGCCGAGGCAGATATTGAAATTCAAACTGCGTCTCCTCAAGGAGGGGAGGATTTCAACCATTTCGTATTGATCAAACCCAGACAGCATAAGTAAAGGTTATAGAGGAAACCAAGCGTCTGAAAACTTTATCAGAAGAGATTTTGGAAGCTTCAATTCAAGATCCCTTCTCTCTGTCCCTCTTCGCCAGTGTCCATCTATCTCTCGTTTTATGTTTGTTCCCCGTTGCCCTGGCTGCAAGGAACAATGTTTACCCACGAGCCGGCCAGACGAGGCAGCTTACAGATTCCGGTCGGGCTCACGAACCGAGCTCTAGGGAGACTGGAGTGTTTACACAAGGTTCCAATATTGCACGGGCCGTAGAAAGCAGAGACAATTAGAAAGAAAGAGAGAAAGAGAAAGATAAGAGGAAAAGAACGTGTAAGGGAAGGGCAGAGATTACTTAAAAGTACATTGGCTAGGACGAAGAGTAAGTGCAGAGAACATACTCGTAAAGAGAGTGAAAAATAATGTAAGAATACAAAATAAGAGTATATAGAAAAGAGAATAAATGAAAGACGCTGGACATAATTATTTGTCTGCAGGAAATATATTAAAATTAAAAATGATCGTATTTAAGAAAAAAATATATCTGATTTAGTGGTCTTCTCTTTACGAAATACTGAAAACAAAATCAAAACACATAAGAGAAAAAGACAAGAAAGACAAGACGAAAAGACATAGGCCTACAAGAATAAGACACAGACTGATAAAAGGGCACTGTCCAAGAAGAACGGCCAATGTGGAGACTTTAATGAGAAAATAATATACGAGTACCAAAGAACATAAAAGGAAAGATAAAATCTTCATAGGCCCTATATGAGAGAGCGTGAAAGAGTGCGGGAAAGTTGAAGACAGAGTACTAGCTTTTAGATTACAACACCATGTAGAACGGTAAATGTCCACCGACGTTTCTGAGGAAGGTATCGTATCTATCTTCAGGGCCGCAGAGTCAGCCAATCAACACGTTCCTCCGGATCACCACTTGACTTCCACCGTGACCCAGAGGATTATACTCGTCGTAGTCAGCGCTGCTGTAACCTCAGATACAACACAGAACAGATGCAAAGTTAGTTTCTTATATGTAGGTGAAATTTGTGTGAGTCTGTGTATCCTCTCTATTCATGTACTGAGTAGATCAGGTAAAGATAATCTGAAAGATATAGAGACAGAAGGAACTAGTCCAGAAAATTTAAATTTTTATTTTCCCTGAGCCGAAGTTTTTCTTCGAAGTTGTTTTATTCATAAAGAATACATCGAAATATCTAGTTTTAAATAACCTACATTCTCACGGGATTTGAAGTTCTCAATAGCGTTGACTATAAGTAGTATTTTCTGGAATCTAAAACCGTGTAATCTGGTACAATTGTGCTGACGTTTCGGAGGAACATGCTGCGTCAATTTTCAAGATCTAAGACTAGCCAAGTGAAGAAGTATTAAGCAAAATCACTCCCCCGAAAATAATAGTCTTCATAACCATCTCCGTGACATCATATGTCGACTCTTTTGCTTGAGTAGCTGAGAAAACACGCGAAACTTAAGCAGTAATGTCGAGAGTGTCAAAATTTGGTAAGGTCTTAGTCGTACTCCGTATCCAATCACGTTTGAGGAAACTGGTATCATGTAGGTCCAGTGAGGGTACTGAACGCCCGTGTGAAATCATCGACTGATAGAACCAAACAAATTAAACGTTTCTTATCAGCGCACTGAGCTCAGCCATGTTTAACTTGGACAGATCCTGTCGCGACAAACGTACTGTAAATATAGGCACAAGCTTTTTATTACACACGACTTATTGATAAACCATTCCCTTTTCTGCCTTTTTCCAACGATATTGAATTGCAGCTCTGATAATGCTTGTGTATACCAAGCACTAGATGAAAGCCACAATAATTAAAATAGTCAGATGGCCGTATTATTTCCTCACTGAATAAATATAGACCTGGGGACTCATATGATTTGCTTAATGACAAAGCCTGGCGTCTGTGGTACAATTTTTGTTTGGAATAGGTTTTCAGCTTCTTGGTTTATTTAACGGAGCTATGTCAGCTGCACGCTTTAAAATCCCTTCATTACTAAATTATTTGTAATTAATTTAAAATGTCGGTTTTGTGTCTACTGCTGCTGGGTTTCGAAAGTACTTGAAGGATGCATGTCTTGTTAGATTTTACTTTACAGCAGATGTGGTTATGAAGAGTTACATTTTCCGGACTGCCTGCCTCATGCCGGTTTCTTTCTTGGCTCACTCATTGAACTTGAAGATGTTGCAGATGCGTTCCTCCGAAGCGTCAGTTCACCACACTGTGTTATATATCATAAAAACCTATTCGATACATATATTAATGCTTTTGGAAGACGTTTTAAAAAGATTGTGTTTGTAGTCTTCATCTAAATTTTGAGAATTAAAAAAGTTATTTGATATAAATTATAATAAATGTTTAATGGTACCAATAGTACACGCCGGCTACTAAAGTCTTACTGAACAGTAAAAATAGCCGGAAGGTCGCAAGTGCGAGTTCCAATGATGCGGTTTTTTTCAATTGACCTAATCTACCCAGCCGCACTATGGCCCTGGGGTCGTCTCAGCCTCTAACAGAAATGAGTACCAGGAATCTCCCTTGGGGGGTTAAGAGCGGCCGGAGCGTAAAGCTGACAATCTCACCGCCATCTGTGAGTGTCTAGAGAAAATGTGGGAGCCTTGATGTCTCACAACCCTATGGGCCTTCACGGCCTGTTACAGGGATAGCTTGAGATTGAACAGTAAACCCGAAGCGTATATCATACCAAATATCTCAACGGCACGGCCATATTAGAAGTTGTTGACTTCTTATAGCTTAACAATGAATACTTAAATATTTTGTGATATAACGCCGTGTAGGCCGGTGAAAGTCAACCGACGTTTCGCAGGAACAAATGCCTGCATCTTCAGAATCTAAGAGGTAGCTAAGCAAGAAACAAATGGGAGCAGACCTGTTGAATTGCACTTTTCCTTTCAGGTGTTCTGAATAACTTTTTTCGTTTCCTTCCAATTTCCTCTTAATACATCAAGATCCTTATATTAGACATTACACGACGGATATGAAAGCACTAGAAAAATAACTTAGCGTAAAACTATGTTAACTTCAACAAATATATCGTCCATTCGGTGACCCTTCACTGAAATCACAAAAATTAATCGAAGGAATATCTTAATTACTGCACACAGCAGAGAACTTCCTCAAAAGGTTATCAAATATCTTAGCTCATACTTTATTTCCACTTCATCCATAATTAATATCCATTCTCTTCGACACGTTAAACTCCCCGATCAATAACCTACCCGTAAACAAAATGTTATCTCCATAATCGATAAAAGATATCAACAGTTTTTAAAGAGCTTCAGTCTTTTTCGTTGCGTCACGGAAGAATCAAATCGGCGGTCACTACTTCTCCCCTTCAGGCACGGGAATCACCACCGTAGCTACGATACCACTATGTTATCAGCAGGGTGCACATGAAGCCAACAAGGGAAACGGTTTATCCCCACTATATTCAACAGCCGCCAAAATGCCTTGTAACGCTCTGATTGATTGGTACTCTGTCATCACAGAGCAGAACTCTACAAGGTGTCGAATGAATGCAACTGCTGCATTTTGGCAATTGATTTCCTGCCATAAATATTAGCTTCTAATGCGTCACTTTTAGTCCATGATGTACATGATGTAATACAGCTCCTTAGACATTATTTGGGTATGAGATTATGCCTATAACTTTTTCGGAACTGTCTTTCTTGTGATAGAACATGAGAGAATAAGAAATGCCCACTTGGGATGGTTAGACAAAAGTAGTTATTGTAACTGTCCTGTTGCTAGATTAAATGTCCTGAAATTGTGATACTTCTTTATCACGTGTCTTTCACGCGCACACACAGCCCAGTCAAGTTCTGCACTCACGAAACGTAACTATGAAATATTAATATTCTTTATAGATTTCCGGTTCTCAGAGCGGTTATATTAATAGTTCCATCTTCTGGGATATAATAGAGTTTAGTCAGTTAAATGTCAACTTATATTGTTAAGTAACATATCACAATCTTCAGGATCGATGACTAAGTCAAGCAAGAAACCTGCATGAAACGCCGGTTTGTTTTCCCCAGACTACACAGCGTTATATCCCAGAAGACTATGCTCACACCGAGTATGGCCCAATCCCAAGTTTATATACCCCTGATTTTCCAGAATGTATGTGAAGAAGTGCCTGGGATGTTCGGAGCGCATCGGCCCCTCGGAGTACGTGATGAGAGCTCTGGACAGCGTGTTCCATGTCACGTGCTTTGTATGTGTGGTGTGCGGGGTTCGACTCACGAAGGGGAGCGAGTTTGTCATCAAACAGGGTCAGCTGTTTTGCCTCCCGGACTACGAGAAGGAAGTGGAAATGCTGCAGGGGTACGCCCAAGGTAGCCACCTTGCATGCTCCTAGTTAGTGAGGTAATGCGCATTTCCTGCTAGGTGAGTAACTGTCGTGAACCCAGATTCGGAACCATTCGGCTGACCTGTGGATAGATTTGCTATATAAAAGGTAGGTCAAAACATGGGATAAATTTAATCCTTCTCAGGTTAAATTGAATTCTTCAACCGTGGCAGAAATAATTAAAGTCAATTCTAAACTGGATTGGAACAACTCATCTAACCTTCGTTAGTAAATGAAAGATAATGATTAATCTGATATCAGTTTTGAGGGCGCAACTTCTTGTCCTACTCAATTGTGTGGTATGTTGTCACTTTTTTATAAATGTTACTTCAGCAATATGTTGCAACCTTATAAAATCATCATCGGGTAGATATTTCGAAGTAATTCCTGCACTGTATTGTTTTTGTACTTCACTTCTCCAGCACCTGGTTAAAATTAGTTCCCATTATTTTTAGTCTAGTTTAAATTAGTTGCAACTTAAAATATATTAAACGGACTGTACTATTTTACAGTCTTACACAGATCTTATTTTAGTTAGCGCTTTACTGAACCTCATACAGGGTGATCCACTGTTATTGTGACTTGAGATCATTCGGTTATCAATGCTGACGCGCCTCTAAACCCACGCGTACGCGCACACACACATAACACAGTGCACACTCTTGGCAAGAGATATGTCAGCGTAAGGAAATGAAGCTTAAAATATTAAGAAAAGTGATTACAGGCATCAGAAATTAAATTAATGAAAGTAAATGCAACTTACATACTATTGATTCATAAACGGAATTAAATTTTTTTAGAAAAATTAGGAATTTATAAATAAAAGAGCGAACTAGTAAGGAGACAGGGAAAAGGCAGAATACCAAATTAGGTTATAGCCCAGAAGCCTAGAGTGAAGAGAAGTTTAGGAAGTTCAGTGCAGAGACGGCATACAGCCGTAACGAGGAATAATGTGTAATATCTGACAGGATGAAGATAACAATGGTAATAACCACGCTTTTACTAAGCTTTTCTCATGTACCCTGAACTTCGCCACTAAATTTCAATAAAGGGGATTGTTACTTGATATCAAGCATTCAACAACTTTTGGAAACTGTCAATATAAAAAGGCTCCTTTCCTTTCCTCGTCGTAATAGCTTAAAATTATGTTCATATACTATTTTTGTACAGCACTGTACATTTATTATTCTTCAAATTTATACAGAATTATATCATGAATTCTACACTCCTGTCACGTTAATTTTCTGTCTACATTTCCTGCTCGAATAACGAAATATCAAGTAGTTACTATAGGATTCTGACGATGGTGTATAACACAGAGGTGTTGGGTTTTCGGACTGTATCCATCGTCCTGGTTTTTTTAAGATAACTAAGAAAAACACGACGTTTTGGAAACTGGATCTGGACCCAGTGATTGAGGGACCCAACAAAATAGGTGTTTTTCCCTCATCTGAGGACTGAAACAGCTCCAGTTTCCGAAACATCGTGTTTTTCTTAGTTATCTAAAAAACAGGACAATGGATAAAGTCCGAAAACCCAATATCTCTAAAGGAAACATCAGTTTAAACAAATATCCTAAGATTCATTAAGTCTGATACGGTTCATACTTCAACTAGTACAAAAAGCATGATACTATGTACATGAATTTCTGACAATTAAAAACGAAAGAACATCATCAGGACTGTATGTAGACCTGCGGAAACTCTGAATTACAGAAGAGTTATTTCCGCTAGATCTGACACTACGGTAAGTAAAACTCAAAATTACAGTTTTCTTAAAATCCGTAGATTCNAATAATAATAATAATAATAATAATAATATTGTCAAATATCTTCATTTGTTGTAAGCATGAACATTACCTAACATAACTAGAAAGAAATAATCTTTGTTAACGTAGATATTTAACGAATTTTTTAAAATCCCTTTTTAAAATTAATGTTCAAAGAAAATATGGAAGTTTTTTGTTTATAAGAAATATATTATTTTAAACTGTCCAGAAAACATGTAATTTGTTGCACGCTTCCAATAATTAAAATTATTTGAGTGTCTTGAATAGTTCCAAATAAAATTACGTGGTGAAAGTAGGAACAATATTAATAAAGTAATAGACGTGTATAATTCGAGAGTTAATGTAAGTGGCGGTCAGTTCGTTTTCATCCTGCCTCGCCGAACAAAATCCTAGGTGCTCATGCACCGGACACCAAGAGAGATATATACAATTAGTTCACATGTTGACTTGAACATACCGCACTGGAGCAACACCTGATAACGAACTGGTATACGTAACATATGAAATGTCCTAATATTGAAGTTCATAACAAACTCCAGGGAAAAGAGTCTCTCAGCAGCTGATAGTCGCTCAGCTAATCAAGAAGTCCTCAGCATTTTGGGCTACCTCAATGCTCAATACTGCGTTCTCAAGAAGCTGCAGGCCAATCACATCCTGAGCCAGACGAATTCAGTGCAGATTCCCATATCCAATTTTTAGGACGAATTACAATTCCTCAAATCCACGCCTCACTTTCCCAAACGGTTTCTTATATTCATGTTCTTCGGACTAAAATTTTGGATATATTTCTCATTTCTCCGGTGCATGCGTAAGAAAACAGATCGGTGGAAATAGTGTGTGTGTGTGTGTATATATATATATATATATATTATATACGTGTGGTACCGAACAGGTTGGTCTAGCGGTAACGTTCTAGACTTCTACATGGGAGGTTCTCCTTTCGAATCACTTCCGGAACACCTGCAGTTTGGCTGAGTTTTTTGTTGTTGTTGTTTTTCAAAGTCTCTGTAGGAAACGCTGGGAGAGTACTTTGATTGAGCCACGACCGCTTCCTTCCACATCCCTTTAAATTCATCAGTGATCCTACCTTCCGGCGATATATGGTCTCAACTTGGATAGAGTCGCACAGCAAGCCAAAGAAGAAGAAAATTAATGTAGGTTTACCCCAACAGGTTTGACAGAAATATTCGATATCATGTATGTTCCACAATTTCGGTTTTTAGAGTAATTCATTATGCCGTAAGTCTAGTGGCCGATCTCAGTGGCCGCGCAGTGGCATGAAATGTCTTCACCCTCTCGAACACTGGGATCATGAGTTTGAACCCCACTCGAAACATGGATATCTGTCCTCGTTTATTCTGTGTTTGTGTTGTTCTGTGTGTAGGTAGTGGCTTTGCGAAGGCCTGATCCCCCGTCCAAGGAGTCCTACCGATTTTGTACATGACTAAGAAACTGAAAAATAATGCCAGAGCCCAAGCTGGGTTGTAGAGCCGTTAGTAATAGTAATGAGGAGATTCATAACTTATACTCTTCGCCAAGTATAATTAGAATGGTGAAGTAAAGGAGGAGGAGATGGGAAGGCATGTATCACGAACAGGGAAAAGATGAATGCATGTTGCATATGGGTGGGAAAGCCAGAAAGAAAGGGACTTCTAGGAAGTCCAAGACACAGGTAAATAAATTGTAAAAGAAGGTGGAGATATCCCTGTATCAGGCCATGGAGGCCCATAGGGTTGTGAGACGTTGAGGGTCCCACATTATCTGGACAAGCGGCTCACAGATGGCGCTAAGTTTGTCAGCCTAACGCACCGGCCGCCCTTTTCCCCCCAGGAAGAACTTTGGTACTCATTTCTGTTAGGGACTGAGCCGACCCCAGAGCCATAGTGCGGCTGCAAGGATTAGGTTAATTGATAAAATGCACTTCATCGAACCCACGACCGTTCCAGCTTGTAGCATAGTACCTCAACCAACTAAGCTACCGCGTGCCCCCCCCCTCAAGACGTAGGTGGGTGGATAATACTAAAATGGATCTTAGGGAGATAGGATTGGGTGGTAAGGTCTGAATTGATGTCGCTCAGAATAAGACCAGTCAATGCCTTTTGTGAACACGGTAATAAACCTTAGGGTTCCATAAAGTGCTGGGAAGTTCTTGAGAAGCTGCACAATTGACGGCTGCTCAAAAAGGGCTCAGCTCCGTGAAGTTTGTTTGTCAGCAGCAGCAGCAACAGCAACAGCAGTAGTAGTAGTAGTAGTAGTAGTAGTAGTAGTAGTAGCAGTATAGTAAGCCTAATGACTCTAATTAAAGTAATTTATCATCAATGAGTTTAATGATCATGTTGTTTCTCTTCATTGTTGTAGGCGAATATTCGTGTGACGATCTGGTGCCGGCCGCCAGAGCGCAGGACGGTCGTCGAGGTCCAAAACGCCCACGAACCATCCTGACCACACAACAACGTCGTGCCTTCAAGGCCTCCTTCGAGATAAGCCCGAAACCTTGTCGCAAAGTGAGAGAAGCCTTGGCCAAGGAGACTGGCCTGAGCGTACGAATCGTCCAGGTAAACTTGTGATATTTGGTTCGCCACTTGCCGCGCCTGGTATCGAACCCTGTAAAATTAAGCGCCTACATCAGCGTACAACATTCTACAACTTACTGCAAGAGAAAAAATGCATTCTAATTAAGTGGGTTATTACCTTTCTTTTTAAATTCGCTTAGTGGGGGGTGGAGTCCAACTGGGTCCACTCGGCACGGCGGCCACTGATTGGCCTATTGTACTTGTCCCGGGTGATTATGATGATGGAGAATTTGGTGGAATGAAGATTGGCAGGGGAAACCGAAGTACTCGGAGAAAACCCACCCCAGTACCACTTTGTCCACCACAAATCCCAATTGACCAGACCCGGGATCGAACCCGGGCCGCCGTGGTGGGAAGCCAGCGACTAACCGCTTGAGCTATGGCGCGGCCAGGGGTATTACCTTAGAGAGAACGTGAATCTCGTAACCTACAAACTAACTATGGGACCTGAACTTAATCCATTAAAAACTGAGTCAGTGTCAGAGTCAGAGTTACTTGGCGCTAAGCTCGTTGAGACTCACCACCAGAGATTTCTTTTTTCTCCACTGAACACTTGTGGTTATAGTCCTTATGTACTATCTTCTTTGATAAGAAGATGGGGTTTCCTTATTAATAAGCTTCGCCTTTGTCAATTGTACGAGTATGTATCGTATATATAGCATATTATTGAAAATTTTTCCTTTGTGCATTACATGAAAGTCCTCTGTCAGTCCAGGCTTTGCAAAGCAGATTGTGTCTATCTTACACATCTCATGCTGCAGCGGAAGCTCAGTCACTTGAGCTTCTTCTAAATAATGCATAAAATTCAGTCCCTACCTCACAGGAAACGCATTATATTCCCATGACAAAGATCAACCAGTTAATGAGGTTTAAGGAAAGAATCGCTGTGTATTTTGACAGCAATATAAAACACACAAATAGAGTCTGTGGGTAAAATGCAGAGATTTTATGTGTTAACGTAGGTGGTAGATATAGTAATAAATTCAGGACCCCACGGCTAAGAGATACAAAATAAGTAGCGTTACGTTGCATAAAATAAATTTGAATCTTTCTTATAATTTTTTCCAGATTCTTAAGCTTCAGTTGAAGGCCTAAGTAATTCTTAATTATGCTAGCATCATTTACGAATATAAATTTAGTAAGGACCCTACTCGAACGTACAATGTCACATTTACACGAGGTCATTGCTATAATAAGCGCAATGGAGAACTGTAGATACACTTATTATCTAATCTAATGTCGACAAAGGACTTCTATCAACGACACTGTCAATTAATTTGAAGTAATTAACATATGTTATGGATTATTTGGTGCTGGATTAGCTCTGCCGGTATAGCGACTACGCTATAGACTGGACGACCGAAAATCAGGGTTGAATTCCCGGCTGGAGGAAGAGATATTTTCTTCTTTATAAAGAACAGACCGGCTCTGGGACCCACTCAACCTCCTACGAAATTGGAAAGGGGGTTTGTTTCCCCGTGTTAAAGCGGCAGGGGCGTGTAGCTGACCACTCACCTACATCTTATGACGCAGTTAAGAATGTTGGAGCTATACTTTCACTTCAGCACAGATTTTCATGCCGTAATGTTTAATTACACCGACTGAACTATCAGCAAGTTATGTAGAAACCGGAGAAGAATCTAACTTGAACAAATTTTCTAGAAATTATGGTCGCACTCCATTTTCTTGGGCGTAATGCAGAGTTTGATTTCCATTTGATAACTTCCGAGTCTTGCGTCTCTTAGTCTGAGTGATTTTGATGTGTCATTAGAATTTGTATAAAGACACTTAGCACACGGTTCGTTCTACAACTGACGTTTGTCAGAATCAGTTGATGGACAGGACTATTTGCCAGGTACACAAGGAAATCTGGGCACTAGAAATTAGCTCAAAACGCGATTTAAACCATATCCAGTCCCCTCAACACATGATAGAAACATAACGTTTCAACACGCATCGACAAATGAATGGAACAAAGCAAATAAAGCTAGAAGGGAGATCTGTTGAATTAGGGTAACACAAACTTTACATCCCCGCGGTCAATAAACTAGGATATAGATGTCCTCCTAATAAACACAACTACATGATCCGGCCGGACCTTCATCAGTGTGATAAACCTATGCAAGAGTGCACTACAAAGACCAACCAAGCCGATCCGTCATCATCATGATCATGATCATCATCGCAACAACCAATTCGACAAATTCAGCAGGTTTTAGTGGGATCTATTGGAGCGCAACACTGAATAGACCAAAACTGTGCCGGAGGGATTGGGGGGTGAGGTTTGCGAACCAGAGAACCAAGTTGGATGTTTACCTAATTTGATTGCGCGCAGTTGGTGAGTCAAACATGTTTTGCAGCTTGTATACACAGCATACATACAAACAAACACCCACATCCACGTCGAACCTACATGGCTTGTTTTCCTGCATACTGCATAGGACACGGAGTAACTAATTTCCAAACGATAAACATAGAATTACATATCCCCGTCAACATATACTCAGCAGCCGCAGTGCACAGTCTGCTTAGAAACTGCGGTAGTGCAAGTGAAGGATTACCTTGTGATACATTAAACTTTCAAGGTATTTACTTCAGCCCTACATGTCAGAGGTTCTTGAACTGGGAGTTAATAACTGCATCCCTGGCCAAACATTAGTAGTAGTCTATAATCGGAAAGTATTTCAGGATCACCAAGAATTCTAAAGTAATATTCTTATATACCAAATAATAAAAGCTAAAAACTATAGTATATTATAGAATTCAGGTCTGGGAATCCTTAACTGACGTTCAATTGTATTGTGCCACCTTAACTTCACAGGTTCATTTATTTTATTTTTTATGTAACGGCAATTTCGGTATCAAAATTATATCGTCGAATGGGAGGATAACAGACAAATGATGAATTGGAAAGGATTTGCCTTCGTGCCTAATCTAGGTACTAACACGTCATTCTTCTGATTGGACTGAGAAAAACCATGAATATTCCCCATTCAGGATTTCCGATGTTCCTTCCGAGATTTGAAATAAGCACTTGCCGCAAAACAATAACATAGTCCGTGGTTTTAGTCCGCAAGCGAACTATATCGACCGAGAGACCACCGCTTGTTGGCGAAGTTAGTACCAACACATGGTGTCACATGGTCAGTGCAACGGATCCCCACGGCCGTTAATCTCAATTTCCTAGACCGGAGCCGCTATTTCCTTGAAATAGCTCCTCAGTTAGCCTCACGTGGCTGAGTGAACCCCGTTTCAGAGACGCTACTTCTCAGAAAATCAGGTAGCGCCGGGAATCAAACCCAGACCTTTGGATTTGTAGCCAGGAACTCTGACCACTAGACCGCATGGCATATTTTAAGAACCATTCTACATATTGGTCTTTGATTGTATTGATATACAGCACTTCTATTGCACGACTCTCTTATGCATAATTACAATTTATTATTTTTATTTCACAATTTATTTAACATCTTAAATATTTTTACTCTACCTCTCTCATTCTGTATTATGGACTCTACTTCGATTATGTCAACAGAGAATATTAATTTCCGATATATTACATATAAACAGCAAGAATCCGCCATGTGGAAGCGAAACGTGCCTTTTAATGTCACTACATGAGTGTACTTTTTTATTATTTTATTTAATGTTCACGTGTTGGCCTATATACCTTTTTCCGTCCCCACTAATATTGTTTGATTCTGACGACAACAGATAATAAGATAATTCGATATTATTCAACAGCTGTACTATATAAATACATATGTACATTATAAAGAATTTCCAAGCTATCCAGACATTTATTTTTTTAACTATGAAAACCCCTCTTGAAGAGAATATTATAGAGGAAATATTAGTATAAAAAAATAAGTCTGTGTATTTTGAATAAATGTATAATAATGAACAGGATATTCCTATGACCTATAAAATAAACCCTCTATAAGGCAGAGCTTTAAGGTTAAATAATGCAGAAAAATTGCCCCACATTTTCATTTATGGAGTTTAATTGATCCTCAAAACAAAGTGATTATTTCTCTATACCTCATTAACCGAATGATCTTTCTATGGATATGCAAAGCGTTAATTTTGGAGGTAAGAACTTATTTCTAAAATATTATATAAATGAACTTAACCTTATAAATAGTTATAGGACACTTCTTGTAGGTGTTCATATCCTAGACAGGACAAAATCTACAGAGTGAGTCATAATAACATTTTATGAAGTACATAAAAATATTTTCATTTTAATCCAGCAACGACATTTATACTAAATTACTAAACTTCGTAGAATAGCAACAACTCTTAAGCGGTGCTGCTATTTAGAGGATTTTTAGGTACAAATCCTACCTTCAAATACTGCCATCTTCTGTTCCTATGCATAACTATTTTCTAACACGCATACTGACAGAATAATTAGAGGATAGAAAATCTTAATCTGATACATATAAGCTATGATTATAGCCTATTACTTCTAGAAACTGAAAATTATATTTGGTACATAATTCAACGTGTCAAATTATGTTTCCTGTCTTTGTGTGTGTAGTGGCAGAAAGCAATATGCTTGTAGGCACAACTGAAATAACAAGCATTAATAAACATCTAGGCTACTTTTTCACGATCGGTTGTAGAGCGGTTTTTTTTTTGTGACACGTTATATTGAACCCTTGGTTTACATGGATCTGTTTCCACACAACCACACTGCTGACAATGGTTCGATAAAATGAGTTACAAAATTGGAGAGCCACTAATATTCGTGGGAAAGAAATCTTAGGTTTTGGACTTTTCGACCCTTCCAAATATTATTCGCAGAAATATTTAGTAAGAAATCAGACATCGTCAAGATTATATGCAATGAACTGAAGAAGGCAGATAATTAGGGACTTTATCCCCAAGAGTGAGCCACCAGTACCCTTTGGACAGGAGAATGGGTGGGTCCCTGGGCTGGTCTCTAAGTTGTGCAAAGTAAAATATATTTGTCCCTG